AATGCTTGTTGCACAGAGAGCTCTCTACTTGAGAAGAGGATAATGTGATCACCTAGAGCTCAGCCTCCTTCAAGGAGAAGGTTCTGCAGGTCACAGAGCTGCAGACAAAATACGTGAAGAATATGTTCAGTTTAGATGATATGACTTCAGGAAGTAGAATGGAAGCAGAGAAAGCATGATTTGATCTTTAAAGTATCCTGTCAGATGCGGAAAAGCTTGAGTTGAATTCTGTTGTTTCAACTCTTGTCATTAACATTCCAAATCTTTCTTTGAGCTCCTGCAGTTTGAGGAGCTCCTGCAGTTTCAAGAAATTCAGTCTGCCAGAAAGAATATTTCTTGTTTGTCGATTGGCAGCGGTGAAAGGGATAACCCATTATATATGTAGTCAAAAATTTTCCCTTAGGTAGTTGTCTTTAGCTTAAAAGTGTTCGATGTTTTTCATGTTTGTTTTTAGGGCAGTTTTACTAAACTGAAAGAGGAACTCGTAACTTTTTAAGGATATTGTTGATGGACTCTAACTGTATTAATGTGGTGCCAAAAGCTAAAGCTGTATTTGTGCTGGAGGAGATTAGTTTAAGCCTCCCAGTGCCCTTTCTTAATAACTGTTTGACTTTCAGAACTGCATCAATAAGCACTTCAGCCCAAGGACAGAGCCTGGTGTTTGTCTAACAAATTCTGCCATCACTTGCACACAGGACTTGTTTCAGTCTTGGAATGCTTTAAGCATCTTGCACAGTGGAGAAGAATCAGTCCTACCGAAGATGGTGAAGAATGGTTGAAACTATCCAAGCAAAAAAGTTTGAAATAGAACTTTTTGATAAGCGTCAAACTGAATTGATTTACCTGGACCGTTATTATAGAAACAAGATACAGCATGTGGGGTATCGCTGAGGATAAAGCCTTGTGCTTGCTTAAGGAGTATGCTTTCCTCTGGAATATAACAGCTATCTGATATTTTACTAATCTTAACTCTAACACAAAGATGTGCAGCATAAAATAAGTGAGTGGGTGTCAGTGTTTCCATTATTGTAAGTGTTGATAACAGAAGTCCAGGTAGGTGGTAGTGGTTGTGCAGTCCCCAGGCACTGGCGAAATGCCGAGTGGTCCCTCGGAGTGATTCTGAGGGCCTCTCTGAGGAGTCCTGTGTGCCTAGTGCACCAGAGCTGACTGCACATGTGGTAAGGGAGGCGCATCCTTGCTGCTTCGGAGTGCAGCTCCGAAACACTGGAGAGGAGCCTTTCCTGACAGAGTTCTGGAGAATATCACCTCTGTAGGAACTGAGGAAGCTGAAGACTGGGTAAATGAGGGAAGAAAAAAGCTCAAGTTGTAATGCAGAGGGGTTATGAAAAGAAAGCAAACAAAAAACAGATCGTCCTCACAAAATAAAACAATCAGAAGAGCTTAGCACCACTCTTCTGGAAAGATTCTGCTGCTGATTCTTCCCTTTGAAAGCTTTATCGTCTGAAGAGGATCATTTATCTGGACATTAGAAGTATGCAGAATACTGTCTGACTGGTAGGCTCAACTCTGCTGCAATCAGCAGGAGTTGGTGCAGTTCTGAGGTGTTTTTCCTGTCGCATCAGTGGGAATGCTTCTTGTTTCTGTGTGAGCTCTTTGGAGGCATGACACATTTGCAGGAGGTTTAAAAGAGCAGTGATTGAGCTGTGTGAATTCTGAAAGGAAGCTAATGAGTTTCCACTCCAGGCAGAACCAAGCAGCAGTGTGGAAGTCGCCTTCCTTCATGGGGTCTGAATTTCTCTGGCGCATGATGAGGAAAACGAGCGCATTGTAACACACATTTATCCCTAGTGATTGGAAGAGAGGTTCCTGACCCAAGGCAGATGAGGGTAGAAGTTCCAGGAGACGCATCTGACATTTTGGACTCACTGATGATAGCACCAGCACTTCTGCTACATCAACTCTCCTACCTTGCAAATTGTTTAGAACTTTTTTTTTCTTAAAATTCCACCCCAGAATATGCGAGAGATACCCAGACTCCAGTCCCCTTAGCTGTGGGAGGAGTTTGGCCCTTACAGTTCCCAGGAGTTGGAGCTTTTGGTCCTTGAGGATAAAGATACTGGAGTTTCTTTGTTTTGTCAAATATAAACTAAAAAAAAAAAAAGGCCATAAACCTTTTTCGTTATTTAACTTGCCTGTCTCTGCCTAGAACTTTCCAAAGGCTTTTGTTCAGGCCAGTGTATCATATTGGCAGTGTTTCCTATGATCTGCTGCAGACAACAGTGCTTTTGTGCAGTCGCACACAACTGTGACCTTGGAGGCACCGTCTCTCTCCTTATGAAAAAAAAAAAGTTACCTCTTATGACTGTTAAGGAGTCTTGGAGGAACAGCATAGTTCCATGGTTATGGTTTTGTTTGTTTTCATGCTAAGTTTTGCAGTTTGTTTATTAACAGTCTCTAGTTTTATCCTTAGCTGGAATAAACGCGTCCTCGATTCCACCTGGGTTATGCAAGTTAGTGGGCACCAGGGACAGACTGGTCTCTTCAGAAGAACCTGGCTCACTGCTCTGACCGCTGCGCTGCTGGGAGAGGAGCCTGGGTCCGTGGAGCAGCAGAGGGGACGGGCTGGGTGCCCCAGCCGCGGGAGCTGCGGACTCGGTTGCTCCGTCATGCACAGGATCTCCCCTGGATTTCCTCTGGTGCCGACAGCGCACCAAGATGCCGGTCGTTCCTGTCACCGTGCAGGGTTGGCCCTGCAGAGTGGCACGAGTCAATAGTGACCCGTTGTGGCTAAACTGCAGAACTGCTGTCGCTGGGTGGAGACCTCACTCTTCTGGGTAGCCAGCAGTGCTATTAAATTCTGACGTACAGAAGATATATGAGGAAGTTAAAGATCATCAGAGCTTTTCTGCTGAGTTACGACTCCTGAACTTAGCTTTGCTCCTCTGAAGACCTCCATTTCCAGCAAGTATATATTACAAATAAGGCTATGTTCTAATAGACTGTTGCTAAAAACTGGTGTTGGTAGTTAAAAATGTGTGTTGTGGAATTGTTAAAATCACAAAGGAGTAAGAGAGAACAGAAGTGGCAGCAGTTGGGGGGCCTTGGTCCCTCTGACCTCTGCAGGCATCTGGTGTGTGCACGTAGGCTGGAGCATTTCAGAATGCTGCTGAACGTGCATAGGCCATCTGATTTATTGCTCTGAATACTAGCATCAGCTTTGCCATTATTGCATGAAAATCTTGGAATTTGTAAGGAACTATTATGAGAAAGCTTTTGTTTTTTATTCTCTCAGTCTTTTTGATATTGCTGTTTATAGCTGCTTTACTGCCTGTATCATTTAGTGAAGAGAAGAAACTACCTGAAACAAAATAGGTAATTCTCCCAAAACAGGGGCGAGAGCTCCTCTAGGAGAGACTTTGGAGCTGATCTGTGTACTTGCTGCCTCTTCTCCGTTAGAAGGCACCAGAGATCTCCCGTAAGGCAGCAGCTCGTGTCTTGCTGTACAGTGAGACTAAGGGGGAAGCCAGAAGAATCTGTTAATTCCAGGGCCAGACAGTTGCMGGCCTAGCCCTATCCCATCCTTATGTTTCTGCTTGGCCTTCTTTAGTGGAGGATGCCCACAGCTGTGTTGAGAAGTAGGCTGTTTTTTGTGTTAGAGGTTAAGCAAAGCCCCATTGAAGGGGATTTTGGCACTTACGCTCTCTGCTCCACTTGGAAAATTAATCCTGCCTCGGCTCTGAGTAGGTGCTGTGCTGAGTGATGTATTTTCCATACCGTTTCTAACCGGCTTTGGGTTGGACCGTGAGCTGCTGCAGAATGGAATGCACCGAGCTCCTCTGTTCACTAACAGTTGTTTTAGGAGAACCTCCTTGACAGGGTTTCATTTGCTGAGGTTCTGCTGTGCACTGGAACTCTGCTTTAATATTGTATTACCATCAAGGTACAGAGATACTGCAGCACTCTGGGTGACCTCTGTACAGAGAACAACTCTGAATTAATCTTTTCGTAATGTTTTTACTTCTGCATTACACTGGTAAAGTGCAGTGCAGACTGAGGCATCAAAGACTGCCAAATTCTGCCAGCATCAGCGCAGGAAGGGGACTCTGAGCAGTGTGTCCAAACTCCTGTCAGCAGAGGAAGAAATGTGGAGCGAATCTCCTGCATCTTTGGCAAGCGCCTGCCAACCTTGTGAGGAGCACAGCAGCTTCTGCTGTTCCAGTGGCCATCCTGCTGAGCAGGAAACTGTGAGTTATCCTGTTGAAGTCAGGGGGATTAACACAGGCCTTAAGGCTGAAGAGAGGATTAGGAGCTGTGCTGCTCTGGAGCCAGAGCTTTCGGTCTCTTGTGTGAACGACCTTTCAGCAGAGGGAGGGACTGAGGGCAATTCCTTGCTTGGATATGTAGTACATTTGGGCACAGTGGCGGGAGTTAAAGATCCTGGCCCTTGCTAATAGCAGTAAAAATTGATGGCATGACATGAGTTGAAGCACAGAAAACCCAGACTTAAACAGTAACAAAAGAAACATTTCATAGAAGCACCTTCAAGCAGCAGAGTTTTTTTCTGTTCTGGTGGGTGATTGTCCTTCTCCCTGGTCTCAGGAAATGTCTTGTACATAGCAGCTAAAAAGTGCTGACCTGTAAAGTAGTTAAAAGACACAATGTGCCTTTGCTTCTGCAGTTGAAGAATCTTTGCCAATTTGATCATTAATTATAGTTGCAGGGTTGTGCCACATCCGAGAGCTGGATTTTTTTCCTTTATCTAACAGCATTATTTATTCAGTCACCCCTTACGTCTTCCCCAGTGCGTGCATGTGTGTGGCAGTGTATTTGCATGCTTCTCCCTGCTCTCTTGTGTACTTCACCTCTTGTGACTGCTGCAAGCTCCTCCTGCAATCTGCAAAGGGAAATTTTCCTGCAATAGAGGCTTGGATCCCAGTCCCCTTGCCACAGAGCAGGACCTGCACATGCACACGTTATCCAAGCTGCATAGCAGCTTGCTGCCACAGCTGAAATTTCTTTTCATTTCCTCTCATCTGCAGCTTCAGGTTGTTTCTGTCCCCTACTGTTGGTCGTTTGCTGTTTCCTTCCCCTACTGATAAGGTAAGTGGTTTCTTTTGTTTGACTCTGTTGAAGATTTCTGATTGGGAACTGAATCATCCCTGTATTGATCTGTCTCCAGCATGTATTCTTCTCTAGTTTGAGTGGAGTGGCTTACTTGCAGTTGACTACAGCATGCAATACTGTTCTTTGCAGAAAATAATTCAGTCGCTTTCTGCAGCAGGGTAAACATTTTCAAGCTGGCAAGTTGCACAGCTGTGCTGCCAGAGGAGCAGTCCAAGAGATCAGAAATGAAGGTGATAGAGAAATGCCTGTTCTCGGCTGCCTTCTGAACTTTATTGCAGTTGCAGAAGGGCTCGGGGTCATCTTTGCTTTCTCTGAGGCAGAAGTATTGGGACAAAAGTAATAATACAGTCTCACGTACTGCTGTGTTTGTTCCGGGTGAGTTTTAGTTGTTGAGCAAATCAGCAGGAGTTGCCCCTTCCTCAGGGAGTGCTCAAGCAGTGAAGAGGTGATCAGAGCAGTCACTTTGGGGACCCGTTGCTGCCTCTGCTCTGGCTTGGCTTGCTGTGCTCACTGGTGGTGCTAATCACTTGGGAGTGGAGCTCCGCCACGCCATCAGAGTGTATCCTGTCTGCAGCGTGAGCACAAACCCCTGGAGATGCCACCTAAGTGGCTGCGTGTCCCCCGCTTTGCTGATTTTGTGGCTACTGCTCAGGACAGAGCGAGCCGGGAAGGGCAGGCTGCGCTGCGCTGGTCCCGCGGCGCTGGCACTGCTGTGTGCACCGCGTGTGGCAGCCGGGACTGGGCACCGTGGGGCTCCTGCCGCTCCCTTCGCYGAGCAGGGAGCGCTCGGAACGCAAGGTCAGCATGCAAGCATTGGTAGCTTTACCGGAGTGAAAATAGTGGTTTGCGTTGTTCTGTAAATTCGCCATATGAAACATCAAGGCATTTATCACTACTGTCCCCTGGGTGCATCTTAGAAAGATGTGAATCATGATAAGTATTATCCAATCTGTCTCTGAAATTAGTTGAACTAATATATTTAAAACTGGCTTGAGTATTTGAAGCTATCTTGAGTATCATTGCGCTATAGAGAATTATATACTCTAGTGTAAATTATATATACTTGGGAAAGAATTGGAAAATTTAAAGCCTGCTTTCTGTCTACTTCTGGACAAACCTGGTCTTAAGCAGTGTAAGAAACAAACCAACCAATGTCACCAGCATTAAACTATAAAGCAGATTGTATTGTTATTCATATCCAAAATTTTTGTGGAAGAAATGGAATGGTAGCAGCACTTTGATTTTTCTTTGAAAGTTTTTATTTTTTTAAAAGATATTTTTATTATAAATCTTTTGTAACAGCTTGGGACCCTAGCTTATGTCAAAAGATGGTCACTTTGAATTTCTTCTTATATAGATCTTACATTTGAGATGACTTTAAGTAGCCAAAAGTGCCTTTTTGATTTTATCTGTCCAAGTCGCTGTGGCCATTTTACGGATTTTTTTTTTTGATATGACTAGCTGTAGCAAGGTCAATACTTTATCATCTCTTGGTTTATAATAATGTCATTGAAACTACAAAATGTTGTATAGTGGACATTACAGGAAACATGAATCAGATCCTCTAATTGTTCTATCTGTTACACTATGTTTGTATTTGACTTAGTGGGCAGCAGTGCTGCTGGTCTAGGTTACAAGATTACTATGTTACTAGGTTGCCCCTGTAAAATTTATCATAATATGCTTTTTTGACATTGATTTTTGTCATAATGCTCTTGGTTTTGATACTCAGTTTTGTCTCTAGAGGAGTCCATGTCCAATGAGAACTTTACAATCTGCAGAATGGTCTGTATCCTTAACGATGACGAACTTTTGCCTCCTGTCTTCTCTTGGACGTGCCTGCAGGGTTCTGCTGAGAACAAGAACGTGATGACACTGCCCTGAAAGCACYGAGTTTGAGGATGGTGACATTCCTGTGAGAGAGACGTGAGGGAGAAGAGCACACCATGGGTGCCAACACCTCTAGCAAGTCACTAGCCCTCAATGAAAATGAAGAGGGTAAGATCTGCTTCTAGCTGGTGCCTAGGGTGACAGAGTTCACCAATACAATATCCTGTGGGCAGCGTAAGGCTGGGATTCCCGGTTAGCTCCCACGCTGGAAACCCCCAAACACACAGACTCCTTGGTTAAGCAAGGATGGGTTGAGCCTTGCAGCAGAGCCATGGCCTTGGCTGCTCCTCGGAGCTATAGTCAAGTGTAAGGTGGCCCTTTTGCCTTCCAGCACCTTTGGTTGGCTGCAGAGAATAGTGCCCTGGCCAAGAATTGTTTTTAAGAAGTATCTGGGACTGCCAGGTAGTTTGAGGTCAGGGAAGAAATGCTGCTGTTTTGGGGGCAGCAAGGTTTTGCTTTGGAGATCACAGCATGAGGAAGATTGGTGTTAAGTGCAGTGAGAAGACAGCTTGAGCAGCGTACATGCCCATCCTTGCGCTGGGCTGGGAGGGAGGGCCACTTAGGAGCCAGGAGGGAGAGTTGGAGGCTGTTAGTAACTGCCCAGCTGGGCGGCTCTGCCTGTTGTCCCTGTGCAGTAGCTCTGAGGCGCAGTAACCTGGACAAGGAGAATATATTGTATATTGCTGGGAGCAGTTTTGGAGGCCAGTGTCACTTTGCTGCCAGGATTAGATATAGTCGTTAAAAGATTGCTTCATAAATCTATTTCCCATTGCATGCGTCAGCTTACTAATTGCCATCTGGGCAATGGATACGTTAATACGTTAATCCACGTGGATACGTTAATAAAATGCGTATGTAAATAAATAAAGTGCAGCATATGAGAACCTCGTAAAAACTGCTGGCCCAGCAATAAGATAACTCTAATCAAATATTAAACATCTTGGATTGTTAAAATGCTCAGTTTATTCAAGGACACTTCCATTCTTCCCAGGTAAGCTCTCAGTTTGTTTCACCACTCAGTGGAAAACATGATGTTTATAAGGTCCAGTGAAATGTTGCATGTGCGTCATGGCAGGGGTGGTTAGGGCAGATCTGCTTGTGCTGCTGTTAGGCTGAAGTTTGCTGGCAGCTTTTATAGAGGAGCTGGGTCCAGGAGTCACCTGCACTTTCAACAAGTTTTCAACAAGTTTCCTCTGCAGACAGCGTGCAGGGGACAGTGCCCCCAGGGCCCCTAGAGCTGAGCTCGTCGCTGTTTTCTCTGGGGTCGCGCTGCCTTTCTGCGGCCTCCCTCGGCCGTGCTCTTGAGGAGTCTCACCCATGGGGGCAGCTGGCGCTCAGCTCAGGGCTTAGGTTTGGTTTTCTACCGGCTCAGCTCACATCTCTGTAGCCCAGTTTATCTGTTTCCCGTGTTCGCACTTGTTTCAGAAGCTACATAAGCAAAAAAGCTGCATTGATGTAGCTCTGTTAACATGATTAAGAAATGTAGGTTTGTAGAAACTTGTATTCTCAAGCAGTGATTTCATGTGTAGTTCTAGATGTGCACAGAATGATTCAGAAATTCTTCTGATATTGCAGATTCACCTAGTTCAACAGCAGAAGAAATTACATGTCACAAGTAAGCTGTGTTCGCCTCTCCTGGGCACTTTGTTGTGGGTGAACAGGTCGGGTGCAGTGAGACTGCTGCAGGGACGTGAGCGGGGGAGAGCAACCAGGCAGCTGGAGCAGTGAGCCCAGAGCAGTGGGGCTGGTGGCACAAGGAGGCGGGAGGGAGCTCTGGTATCTTGTGGGTGGGGGACAGGGGACAGGCTTCTGGTCATGAGTGACAGAAATGACATTGATAGGCTTCTGCCACAGACTCCATTAAACGGTCACTGACTGAGAAGCTTTTAAAACTGTGGGTATGGAGGGGGAGAGGGTGTAAAGAGGGAGCATTGGCCAAAACTTGGTCTTTCTTAGTGCCTCAAGGAGAAGGGTCCAAAGGAGCACCTCGCACTCGTTCTGAGGAGCAGCTGGAACTGCAGTGCTTGTATTCAAAGCAGTGTGTTAAGTGCTCATGTAGCAAAGCCTCCTGCCAGGGCTGCGGCCGTCGCAGTGTTCAGTGTGGGGTGCAGGTTTCCGAGCGCAGCTCAGGGAGCGTGTGGGTGCCCCAGGAAGGAGAAGGTGGTTCTGTGCAGCAGCACGTTCCCTCGCGCTCCGGGTTCGCCCCGTGGTGACTCCTGCCGCGTCGCGCGCCCTCGGTCTGTCATCCTGCAGAGAAGCCTTCGCGCGCAGAGCTTCCCCGCGGCGCTCGCTGCTCTTGCCCTCAAGCACAGGGAGGTCACGCGGAATCCTTCCCACTTTTACATTGTGCTTTGCAAGGCCCAAAGCGAAAGCTGAGCAGTGTGGCTATTAGGCTAAAGAGGCCCTTGTTCCCGAATTACTGCCGTAATGGTTTGGCTATTTTTTTTCCCCCATTAAACTGAAAAAGAAAAAAGAAAAAACAGTAAACTTGGTGCTGCAAGGCTTTTCTAGGGCATCTAAATGCTCAATATTGGCATCTTTTATAAATAATTGCTTGTGCTAACTCCAGATAACTACTCTTTTTCACTTTCCTGATCACCCTTCTTAGAATAGTATGTCCTGTCTGTGAGATTGACTGTAACAAATTGAATTTTCATTGCACTGGCTGGTTTCCCTCTTGAGTCTTTCTCTGAGGCTGACCTGCTTGTACAGTGTCAGCTCCTGTGACTGAAGAAATAAATAGATCCCTAAGCAGTGCAGTGGCCTGGGTAGAGTGACTATCCCTGTGTCAGTGCAGCTTTTCAGACAGGTGAATCCTTAGGAAAGTTGCTTCCCTTCTTGGGAGGTGATGGGATTTAGCGGACAAAAGCTAACAGCACTTGAGGCCTCTATCAGTAACATGATGAAGGACACTGGACGTTCCAGTGGTTTCTTCTGGTCCTAAAAAATAGCTAGAAATCCTTAGTGACAACTTCAGTCAAGTTCTGTTCACCAAGATACTCTGATACTCTGTGTATCACGGTCCAGACCTGAAAGGAAAGAGTACCCGATGTTGCTTGTTCTGTTCCTGTCCCGGGGTGTGGGCATGAAGGAAGGGCAGGGCGGTGGCGGGAGGGCTGCTTGGAGCAGCCGAGCTGCAGGTGCCGCCGTCCGGCAGGGCTTGCAGAGCCTTGGTGCCAGGGAGGCGGCCCCGCATGTGCAGCGAGCTGCCCACCTAGTCCCAGCCGCCCGCCTGGGCCCCGGCCGCCATCAGCTCTTGGATGTGTGGASCAGCTGTTACTGAGTGTGTGAACAGAGCAGTACCTGGTGTAGAAGGGCTCCTTTAGGGTCTTGCACCTATGCACAAGTAGTGATAGCAGCTTTGGCATAACCTACCAAATAGATATTGCTGCATTTTGACTATTTTCTGTACAATGTGATTCTTTTTGAGGCACATTTCTCAAGGGACTTCATTTGCCTGGGCTCAAGTGGGATGGCAGTGCTGTTTTTCTCTTGGCACTTCCTCAGCATGGGCATAGTTGTGGTAATAAGCTAGTGAGATGAAAAGAAAATGTAATAACTAGGCCTAAAGTTCAGCACCGCGAGGGGATCATGGCCCTGAACGTAGTCAGGACGAGGCTGTGTTAAGGCTGGGTTTTGTTGGCCCTGCTGCTGAGTAGAAGGGTATGGAGGACAACAGTCAGAGATTCGGCCAAGCTGGCCAGAGCTCTTGGAATGCAAAGCCGAAGTGGGGAGAGTAGGTGAGGACATTGCTGGCGCGAGGTGGACGTCCATTATTCCATAGTCATCTGCASGTGTTTCCAATCTTCAGGGCGATGGTTTCCTCTAGTTTTGTCCTCAACACTCCTGTCTTTGAGTTGTCCCAGGACTTAAAAGAAGATTAGAGATGCTGTTGTTCCTTTGCCTGAATCTGTGCTTATGCTTCAGGAGGCTCTTTATAGCAGTTGTATTATACTCTTAAGCATAATTTGTTTGTCTGACTTAACATCATTATGTGAATTTTCTCTCTGGAGAGTAAGTGGTTTGGCTCTTTCATTGTTTTAGATGCCATCAGGCAATGAAAGGAAGATTTTCAATTCTGTAGATGTACATTTTGGATAAAAATCATGGGGTTGGGTCCAGATTTTGAGCTCTGCAAATTTAAGTATTGTTTCAAAGTGAGTTTCTGGATTGGCTCACTGTGAAAAATTTGGATTTTTTTTTTTAATATGTGTATATATTTTTTAAAAAGACATTTCAGCAGGCTGAATGGACCATATGTCTGAGGCAGCTTGGTGACGGGCAAGGAGACAGTCTGTGCATTGAATAAAATTGCCTGGTAAATTTATCTGGAAAATACATACATTATCTACACAGGCACACAAAGGAAAAACGGAAAACACACTTAACAGAATATGAGTTCAAGCTGGAATAGCTGTGGTGATGATGTGTGCACTTCCTTACTGTTGTCATGTAGTCTGGATCTGCCTTAACCAGAGATCTGTCCTCTTATCCTTTCAGGARCCCCTGTTGTAGCTTAAGGACCAGATGTATTTCAGGGAAAATGGGTTTGTGTTTGAGGATTATTCTGTGCAAAGTTGTAACGGGGAGGATTTGTCTCTTGCTGTGGCAGAGTGATCTACAACAGCTTCTTGGCCCAGAATCTCAGTGGGTAAAAGCTTTGGGGATGAATGCCTCTTGGTTTCCACGCAGCTTGTTCAGTTAGCAAACAAAGCAGCAGATTATGGCAGCTCTTGGAGAGCTGCGCTGCTCCAAATGACCTGGATCTCGGACATCGTGGAGGGGGACAGTTTTGTAGCTTCTAACACATGGGTATTTCTGTGAAAACAGCTGTAACCTGGCTGTGCCCACTGAGTCCCTGCAGCTGCAACCTGGCTGTGCCGGTTCAGTCCCCAGGCTAACGGGTAGTGGATGGAGGGCCCTGGGCTGTTTTAGATCAGGCTGCAGGCTCTCTGGAAGGGCCAGGCCCACCCAGCGACTGCTCCGCATGCACCGTCTGTGTGTCTGGCACCGCAGGTGAGCACTGCGCGGCGTCCCCAGCGCTGCCTCCGCACGCTCTGCGCCTGCCCGGAGTCTGAAGGAGCGGCCGTGGCCGAGCGCRGCCCTGGACTCCGACACCATTCGTCACTGCGGCACCTGGCCCTCTTAGAGCCAGAGGGAGGCACTGGGACTGTCTCGTGGCACAAAGCTGGCGTTCGGGGTTGCTGTGTTTGCGCTGTACAATTGTTAAGCAGTTGTCTGGAATACCACAAGGATGAAGTGACCCAACCACTTGTTTCAGCCCTGACACAATATAAATGTTTGATGGACTGAACTTCTCAATGGATTTCAGAGTGAACAGGATGAGGCTTTCACGCTTAACAGGCATTCACTTGACACTTCTTGCCTAATCTGCCATTAAAAAAGGATGCCCCAGTGAACTTGTCCTTACAGATGAGCTGGAAAGAAAAAAGTGTTCAACAACAAGTTTTAAACAGCCCCCAAACCTCCAAGAAGAACAACGAAAGAATGCTGTAGTTTTTCTGTCCCTCACCTAGGGGAGAAAAAAAGCAAGAAATAGTAGAACATCATCAAATTGTTGCCAGCTGTTTAATGTATGAACGTTTGTTCTTTTTTGCAGTCACCTTTGACCATTTTGAAATTCTGCGAGCCATTGGGAAAGGCAGCTTTGGAAAAGTAAGTATTTTTTATGCTAGTCAGCACCAGGACAGGTTTAAATGTAGCTCTCTGAGAAACGGGCAAGTTAGAGAGGCTTACATGAGAGTAGAGACATGAAACACTGCATTGTAAATGAGATTTGACCTGAACTTAAACTCCTGGTAATCAAGAAAGAATCTTAGCCTGATTCCTTGTCCCTTCTATAGCCACAAATTATATTATAGGAAATTAAAGTGGGATACTGATGAACCAGTCAGCTGAATTTCCTCTTTTTCTAGATAGGTATTTTCTAAGGCAGATTGCTCAGCAAAGAAACACTGAACATCTTGATATGTCTTTGAGAAAGAGTTAAAATCGGCATGAAAGACTTGGCAAATTTTTAATGTGGATGTCTGTGAAAAACAATGTTTGTATTTAAGTGTCAGGTTATAGCCACATGTTGACCTTATTTTTATGCTGTTACGGACATACTTACATAAGTAGATGGAAGTTTAGAAGATCACTACCCCCATGGTAGAAAGGCCAGGAACAGGATACGTTTTACATACAAAGTTAATCAAAAATACTGCAAAAAAGAGCTTAATTTGTGGACTAATTAAAGATGATTGTTGGAAACTGAAATTTATCCCACATTCATCAATTGTTGTGGAAACAAATACATAAAATGCTTTGTTTTGCACTCTTGTGACCTTTAAGTTTTCTCTGATGAAACATTTCTTTCTAGATTTATTGAAATGTGACTTTTTAAGGTGATAAAATTCAAACTCCCATATATCTAAAGTCAAAACCTAAGGTTCATTGTGACCTGAATAAAATGTTGAGCTGCTCTGAAATGTTAAAATACTGGATTCACTGCCAATACTGGAAAGGACAGTCAATAAATAAATAAAGGCACTTCTTTCCTCATAAATCCTTATTGTAAGGAAGAGGGAAATTCAGGTGCTACTCCCCACTTCTTTATTTCCATACTGAAAGGGACTCTTCAAAACAATAACTAGATTTGGGAGGGGAGGACAATTTGAATGATCAAGATTGCTTATTGCTATTAAATAAAATAATGACTTCCCTATCACCACCTTTGTGGTGATAAATTCTTTCTCCTTTTCTCAAGTAGGGGCGTGAGATGTTCGTGGCGATGCCTGGAGCCGCAGTGCGGTGCGCAGAGCTGGCACTCAGCAGCGTTGCCTTGGTTAGAGCTCACGATGTGACACCCTGTTTTACGGGCATAAATTTGCCCAGCAGTCATCTCTGATTTACCACTTGCTTTGCTCACCTAGGTCTGTGTCGTACAGAAGAATGACACCAAGAAAATGTACGCCATGAAATACATGAATAAACAAAAGTGTTTGGAACGTAACGAAGTGAGAAATGTTTTCAAGGAGCTTCAGATTATGCAGGGCCTGGAACACCCCTTCTTAGTTAATTTATGGTAAGACATTTCTCCTTCACGTCAGCAAACTCAGTGCTTTTAAGGCAGGGAACGGAGAGGGGCCAGGCGAGGAGCGAGTCCTTCCGGAGACCTGCCTGCGCGCTGCGACAGCACCTCAAGTGTGTGCCCCTTCCGTGCCTGAAACCTCCCACACCAGCTCTGTGCTGCTGGTAGGCAGCGAGGGAGAGGAGGAGGGATCGGCTACAGCTCTTGTCTCGTCCCACAGCCTCTTGATTCTGTGGTTTGTTTTGTGCTTTGCAAACTTGCCTTAATACCATATTGATATTTGACTGATTTAATGCTAATCACAGAATCAGCAAAGAGAAATGGTATTTTATCGTTGAATTTACTGATGTAAAAATAATACCATTCAAATTTTATTATAGAATCCATATTTAGAAAACTAATTTTGCACTCTATTCGATGTGGATTGTACCATAGTAAAGATATGGTACATCTATCTGTGTTTTTTTGTCTATAAATGTGCTCTAATGCAGGCTGATTTGTGCGCTTGATGCATCTTAGTGCATCCATGCTCACTTAAAGCTTGGTAGACTTTGATAAATTCTGAGGAATCTGTGCAGTTGAGTGCGCTCCAGCTGACGGGAATATAGGATAGAGGTGATGTTCAGGATGGAGGCATTGGTACGGGCTGGGGCAAGCTGCAGTACAGCAGTGTGCATTGAGAGAGATCTTTGCACTGGCTTTGCTTTTTAAATGACTGATAGTAGCAGATTCTACAGAAAATCGCAGGGTTGCCGCTGTTCTAGTGGGCCTATTGGCAGTCCATGCAAGCTGTGCTGCCCTTGTCAAGCTACGCAGGTGTCAGAGCAGGTACTTTGAGAATATTTTCAATGAGAGTTTAGATGCAGGTGGGAAACTGAATATGCAAAAATCAGGAAATTGCTTTTTAACAAATGAAAATGTTTCAAGAAACTGTAAACACTTCCAGAGGTGTTTTCTGTCTCTCTCTGCTCTATTTATTTTTTATTTTAATTACTATCGTCCTTGAACCATGTCTGTGCCTTTTTAGGTACTCGTTCCAAGATGAAGAAGATATGTTCATGGTTGTGGATCTGCTSCTTGGAGGGGACCTACGTTACCATCTCCAGCAAAATGTGCGATTCCAAGAAGGCACCGTGAAGCTCTTCATCTGTGAGCTGGTGTTGGCTCTCGACTACCTCCAGAGCAGACACATCATCCACAGGTCAGTTAGGGGCTTTGTCCATAGGCTGTGGTAGGTGCTGACAAGGAAAAGTAACATGTACAGTATCAATGATAACAAAATAAGACATTCAGACAGTGAATACCTAATATTTGTGTGGTGCCTTCAACTGAAAATCCCAGACTGTTTTACGGAGTGGAAAAGTGAATAGTGAATGTCTGACTGGTTTTATTTTTTTTTTTTTCCAGACAAGAGACTAGTAATTTGTGCTTACTGATTTCATGTTCTAACTGTAGTATGTTGGTATTCCACATGTGGCATGTAGTCCTGAAAAGCATTTTGACCAGTTCATGCATTGTCACACTTGGAGGCATCACTCATTTTTTTTCTCTCTCTCTCTCTATACCAGTTTGAAAGGCAAAAATTGGGACCAAACACTCTTTGTACATGATGAAATTCCTTTCTAGAATTAATGAGAGCTTCTTTCTGGTCACTGAGATTCTTTATGGCCAGGGAAGTAATATTTGTGATAAGARTATGATAAGTATAATATTATAAATTATAATAAGAGTAATAAGCTCTTCCACTACAAGCTGCTAGACATTTCTTCTGTATTGTGTGACATAAAAGGGAACTTCTATGTTGCAGAGCAGAATGACTGGCAAAGCTTTTGTGCTCTGCTGCAGAACTGCAGCAAACTGCAGAACAGCAAATCAGAAGCTGTGCTACTTCATATAAAACCATCTTGATCAAAGTGAGGGAATCATCTTGTGAATAAATTGGGAAAATTCTATTTAAGCTGATTCACTTTAGCAAAGTTAGATTCAGTTTAGCAAAGTTGTTCTTGGCATTTTAGTTCTCCTTGTATTCATTTATTTTTTGCAAGCCTCACAAATACCTTTGCAAACTGATACACCAATTGCATGCTGTGCTCAAGTTACTCCAGGACTTACAGTCAGTCTCCAGGGCAATGTTGCCAAGGACAAAAACTCCTTTACAGTGCAGGGTTTTAGGAAGTGGTTTAGGTGATACAGAGAAGTCATACAAAATACTCTCTGTTTACTGAAACAGACTAACAACCGGATAACAAATAAATAAAGGTTTTGCCTTGTTCGGAAGGCAGGAGTTGGCTCCAGATGGGCAGCCATGTACTTTATTGTCTCTTTCTGATGCTTTAGACTTCACAAACATCCTATGTCCAATGTTTTTGACTTAATATCCGATAATAACAAACACTGCAGTGTAAACAAGAAGGGACAATCAGAACTATCTTAAAAACAGGAGGGCAGAAGATTATCTTATTTATAAATACCATTCAAAAAACATTCTTGTGAAGTATAAAAATAAATGTAGGACAAACATTTAATTTAAATTTATTCTAATCATTGGTAAAGGAAGGAACATTATGTTCAAGACTGGTGAAGGTTAACACTCCTGTCGAGCAGCATTTGTCTGTTTTTCTTAAGCCCTGCAAGCCAAAAGGGTGACGCTCAGTATTTCCACAGCAGTGTTCCCCCACCAGCTGCAGAGAACCCTGAGTACCAAGGAGCATTTGCTTTGCTTTGATTAGACACAGGCTCCACTTTCTCAGGAGTCTTAGTTTTCATGATTCTTGTTTTGTTTTCCTACCTGCATAGACTTTTGCTGTTTGCATCTGATCTTGGCATCTAGGCCAGTTCAGCGACCTCATTCAGACTTGCTTAACCTCAGACACTGATGTAATCTGGGAAACAAACCTGGCATGTGGTAATGAGGGTATTGGGTTAGCATTCGCTGCCCTGCACCTGCTCACCAAATAATGAATGAACATGAATTAAACATTGTGAAATAGAGACTAAGCTGTCCTTGTCCTGGACAGCAAGGGGCAAGTCTTTATACTGATGGCTTGGCCTTGACAAACTGAGCAGGATACAAGAATTAGAGGAGCACAAGGAAGAAATCCTTCTTATTAATAATAAATTACAGTTAGTAGTAACATTGGTGGGAGAAAGGGGCTGGAAGCTCTTTATGACTCGATACTGTAATAAAAAATCAGTCTGAGAGGCCACCTGATAAGCCACATAAGCAACAAAGACATGATATCTAAGAAGGATCACGAGCTATCTGTGATGCTATCATTTATGTTGCTTTCAATCCTGGGAACTGGGCTCGGAGTCATTTCAGGCCGTTTGTCATGCTGTGAAGGACGAAATGAGTCTGCTCTTTTGCAGGGTTCATGGCAGTGGCCTCTGCCTGGCCTGGCAGCCTTCTTGCACAGCTGCCTCACATCAGTAGTTCATGCCTAGACCATGCACCTTAGGCTGTAGGAACAAAGGATCACAGATTACTGCAGGGACAGATCAACCCAGGAATCGGGAAAAGACTCTGATAACTTCAGACACCCTCTATTTAGACTRAAAGATTTATTGCAGGGTGATAGGGAAAGGAGGTGCAGAGATGCAACCACTTGGGAGACCCAGTTAGAGCATCCCATGCAGCAGGAGGTGTAGCAGGTAGCTGCAGATCGCTCCTCTGCAGAGCGGCCTGCAGCACATTCCCACCCAGGCTTCCCTGCTTCCCCAGCCTGCCGGAAAGCATCGGAAGGTGAAGGGTTATCCTGTGTGTGGTAGTGCTTTTGGCAGCTTCCTTACAGAGCATTAGGTTGCAAGGTGTCTGGCTCAGTCTCATAGCAGGTGCAGCATGTGGAAGGCAAGTCATGTAATTAGCTCATTAAAAAGAGGTAATGTCTTGTAAAGTCACTGAGGTGCATACAGTAGGCCTATCAAATGCATGTTTTCTTTGTTCAACAAAAAGCATTTGTTTTAGCATTGCTATAGGAATAGTTGTTTTATTTAGGAGCAAAAAATTGCAGGGAACCTATTTGTTTTTAAAACAAAGTTGTTAAAGCAGTTCATGAAAGAAACTTCTGCTTGACATTTGCAGTTCCTTCTAATGGAAGCAAATTCAAGAAAATTTGCTTGTTTCCACTTCTTTCTACTTTTAAGTAACAGAGGAAGAACAAAAGACCATGTTCTTTTGCAGACTAAGTAGTAGGTTTCTCCACAATGTATAGACAGGTAAGTGKAGTTGGTTTAAAATTACACTGTCCACTAGTTCCCTAATAGTGACGTATGCAGGTTTTTTAATTTTTTTTATTTCAGTATTCTTTTTGTTAAAAGCTTCAGTGTTCTTCATATTTTCTGTTGTTTCCCTGAGCGTTAAGATGCTTAGTAATGTGCTTGAGATTGGTAGCTGCTACCCAGCAGATGCTCAGATACAAAGACTTGCCCTACTAATCTGCAGGGGAAAAAAAAGCAGGTTAAGAGTCATTGAGATATAYTTATCTTTCTAAAGGAAATAAAAGTGTTAATAAGTAAAATTATAAACAAGGTAATGCATTAGAATGCCTGTTCTACCTTCTGCATATTAAAAGTTGGGCATTTTTATATCATCAATAAATAAAATGATTCCTCTTTGTTGTTTACAGACAGGCTTAATATTTTACCAGCAATATCCTGAACTCAAAGGACAATATAGTATGTTATGGTTATTTTACTTTTGGGGGATTTTTGGTGTGTGTCTGGGGTGACTTTTGGCACTCAGAGTGTCGTTATTTTGTGGTACTGGAAATAAAAATGCCATCATCATTTACTGAATTGATAGTATTACCAACCACAACACCAAGCTTGTTCATGTCCTTTTCTGGGGTATAAATATTTGACCCAATCTGTATTTTTTGCTTAATATTCTTGAGTCACATCTTATTGAAGAATTACACCAAAGAAGGGGCAGGTACTCTTTGTGTCTAAGGAAATTATACAGGAAAGAGTGCAGAGCTGGCAAGTGCTTTTGGGCACCATGTCAGAAGAAACTGGGCAAATTTGTGTTTCTTTTTTTTTAATATATATGTGTATATATATGAAAATGAACAAAAAGASTTCAACTTCAAATGTAAAACTCTGTATTAGCTATTTGCTCTGAATAGCTTCCTTTTGCATGGAAAATAAGAGGCCTTTTTTTGTCACATGTCACTGTTCTGTGACACGTGRTTGTTTTCATAACAAATAAGAAATGTACAAATTTATGCCTGGATAAGAAGATACTGCAGTAAGTATCTGTAAATCGATGCCCATGAACTTCAATAACATCTGATGAGATAGGTGAGATATCTTCCTTGAAATGCTGCTCTTYTGGTAAAGAAATAATTGCAGTTGGAAACGTGAAAAGCCTTCTGTGAAAATGAAACAATATTCAGCAGTTTTATTGCAAATCTGTATGGATGTGTTTTTCTACCCCCAAAGAGGTCAGCTTTCTGGCAGCCACTACATTCACAAGTAAACAGTATGTTTTTGTTGAGTGCCTTCGGGTRCTCGTGCCCTTCATTGTGGGGCTTTCCTTGTCGACATGCAGACRTCTCACCTGGGCGCTGAGCTGCTTGGCCCGCTCTGTGGTGGCTCCTTTCACGTGCAGCTGAAGGACTTTGTTAATGCACCAGGAGCAAAGCTGAAACTGATGCAACTTCTTTACTTCGTTCCAACATACAGTTTTTACTGGGAAATGGGGATCAAGCCTCAATATAGCACTTAGAAGAAAAGTGGATTTAAAAAAGAAAAAAAAACGAACAGTGTAGGTGGGCTAGCTAGATGTTGATAGATGAAGACCAGAATCTTCCCAGTCGTGTCATACCTACATTTTTCCTTYTGTTATTTGCTTGGACAGTCTCGTATGTTTGAGTAAAACCTTGCAGAAGCATTAGAGCAGAACCACCCCAACAGAGAGGTCTTCTGRGGCGTAACGTCTCTGGAGCCTTGTCCCATTAGAGCTTAGTCCTTCATTTTCTGCAGCAGTGTTTCACGTCATTGTTCTAGTCTCATGGCYGTTTCCCAAGCTCTGCGTTTTTTCCACAGGGATATCAAGCCTGACAACATTTTGCTGGACGAGCGCGGTGAGTACCCGTCAGCGTTGGGTCACGCGTGCGCGCAGGAGCGGAGTCGGCAGCAGTGCCCGCCGTGCTGCAGCGCGGGCACTCTTGGGGTTTCCAGCCTGCTGCCTTCCCACTAGCTCGTGAGCGGTTTGGAATGGGAGCCCATGTGTGTGCATGTGCRCTTTACCTGGCACTTCTGCACCTTGCGTGTTCTTTTGATTTTCTGAACACCAGCTTCCTGTATGGTTATGCTGCTGGGCAATCCTATGTTGATCCACATTATTCCTAGTGGTGCATCAGTGTTTCATGATCACTGCCTCAATGACAGCTGTAGAAAACATTACCAGAGATGACAGTTCTTCTGCTGTTGGTGGTCAGAGTAGTCTGGCCCCTCTTGTTCTAACAGTTTCTTTACTGATGTCTAAAACTTGCTTTTAAGTTAGTGGTTAGGATGGGAAGGTTCCTGTAATTACGGGCTGTGTGTAATGTATGCTCACAAGCAGAATGACATAAGGTTGACTAGATAATCTCTCTCCTGGAGTTTCTTTGAGCATCTGATATTGACAGGAAGCTTGGAAGAGGGCTTGGGGCTGGCTATATTGTAGATGTTGCTATCACTTTTTCCTTTAGTCTTTTCTTGGGCAAAACTCCA